CACACACACACACACACACACACACACACACACACACACACACACACACATACATACATACGCAGGTTTTGGTGTATTCGGGTCTTTTCCCGTGTAAGATTGAGAGTATCTTGGCGATGTTTCGACAAGGTCCCTCGTCGAAACGTTGCCAAGATACTCTCAATCTTACACGGGAAAAGACCCGAATACACCAAAACCTGTATACCTGTACCCATGAAAATTCACTCTGAGTCACTGAGTAGATCTGGCATTATAACATTTAAACAAATTACTAGTATGGTCAGCTTTCAAATGTCTGATTCCTATCTGCAACCTGGAACTCATGTTTGGCAGATTGTATTTTGAATGGAATTTATTACAATCCACACTGATAATATGGATTGTGATAAAAATGAAATAAACTATTTCCTCCCTGCAGATTTATATCATTGCTGGAGCAACAAATCATGAATAAAATGCTATAAGTCACTAGTGAGCAAATTGCCAAATGCATTCTAGGGTGGGATAAATGATAATGATTAAATAAATAACATTTTGATTTCATATTCATCAGGAACTAATTCAGCAAAATGGAATGTCTCTTTGGACTGACTATCTGTCTCAGTCTGATTCGTCTTGATGGTCCATAAAGATACAAAGCACTTAAGAGGAAATGACACAAATATTATAAAAGTCTTTCTAATCCTTTGCCAAGCTCAGCCAAAACAGTCTGCTAATATCAGAGGAGTGGGTGACCCTCCTCTAATCTTATTACTTGTACTACTTTTTTTTTGAAGTGTTTCTTGGATCATTGTGATGTGAGAATTTACAAAAGCTGGCTTTTGTTTACTTAAAAACACACCTCTCCCTATTTTTACTTGTTAATAAAAGGTAGACACTGTAGAGTTAAGGCCCCAATTCAAGGTTACTGAGTTAATGCATTTCACCTAACAGCTATACTCATCCATGTAAGACAGGAGTACGTGTCCTGTAGCTTCACTGTAAGTCTAGTGTGTGGCATCTCAGCCCTTAACTGACAGTCAACACAGCCACATTGGACACTTGCTCAGTATGTATATATTTGGATTTTAAAAAAGAAATTCTATTATGGCTGGATCCTTTTTTTTTTAATTTATCCCCATTCCCAAAGAAATACAACTCTACCTGAAGACTTAAAATACCAACTTATTCTGTTTTGTGAAAATTAAAGTATATTTTTGCCTTGGAATGATTTGTCCAATTGATTCTGTATGTGCATGTGAGGTTCTTTGCTAAGGACATATAAATCTGAAATTCATCAACTATTAGACTTAACTGGATGTACTAAATTTGAACAATATTTGTATGAGATTTTGGGCCAGACGTGGCTATTAATCACGGTTTTTCTAAAAGCTTGGCCTTGTATTCAAAAATTCGCTAACAGAAGTTTAGACACTGTTAGATATACCGTTTTATTGCAAGCAAAGAATTCATATATGTGCGGAGAATTCGCTCGCTGCAAACCCAATAGTCCCAACTTTCGACTTGTTTCCAATTGTTTCCTGTTAGTTGATTATTAATTGCTTTTCCCTCAACCATGAGATTATAGTGGAACTGATCAATGTTATACAAAGGCTTTCTCTGCTCTGACTCCTCACCTTGCCATCTTCAGCCCTTACAAATCTCACTAGTCAAAAATATGCACTCAATTTTCTGTGCAGATAATAAAATCATGTGAAAAGTTCCATAATTTCTTCTAGTTTTTGAGTTGTGGTGGATCTATCATAGTTTTAAAGAAAGATGAGAAAAGGTGTATATGTGGATCAACAGAAATATTTTGCTTTCCAAAGGATACAGTTACAGTATTATATAACATGCCTATTTTTTCTAGGCAAATAGATGTTGCAAATACAAAGCCCTAATTCTGTTTAACATAGAAAAAAGTTAGATAAGTCTATGTAACACGTCAAATTCCTTATTGTAAACCTAATTGCATTTTTTAATTCCTTTTCCTTGGAACTACAAACTGTCAGGAAGAAGATCATTTTGTGCTTTGTATTATCCATAGAAAATATTTTTAAACGTGAGTTCATGTTGCAAAACACTAGCAATTAGAGTGGCCACTTACTCTTATCCACAAAAAAAAAAAAAAAAGTAATATTTTAATTAAGAAGGCCCAGCTTTTTCTAAATTTTCATATACTAATGCAAGATTGTGGCACCTCCGGAGTGGCTTGTTATTTCAGAATCCTGCTTTCTGCACTCACAGTATCATGCCTAATACAGTTCTTTAAAAATGGAAACTTGGTCTAAAATCTTAGCTTATTAAGGAGGAAAAGATATTATGTTTAAGGTAAACATGAAGCAGACCACCTGGTCATTCAATCAGCCATGTTTTGCCAGTCCTATTAGATCACTCTTTCTTACCCACTGACTAACTGGAGCCTTCTAAATGTAGTTCTCTGGCTACAGCTATGTGGAAATCCAGTTTTATTTATATATCAAACTTCTTAATCACCTATCTCCCTCATAGAGGGAAAGATCATACTTCAAAACGCCAACAATCACTCATAACGTTACTTGATTTTTCTGCATATATTTCCATAGTTTTTTTTAAAAAAACTTTTTATTAAGTTCCTCTCATTTGTAAATAACTTTTAACTATGCACTTCCCTTATTAGGGGAATAGTTCTGCTTTTGCTGAGACATAGCAAAGAACTTGGCAGAAGTGGAACAGTTGCAATCCAGTTTCCAACTGTAGATCAGTAGGGAAAACACCTGATAAATATCTATGCCAACCAAACTTGCCAAGAAACCTTAAGATCATGATAGCCATTTACATCCTGCTCACAGTCTCCAAACAACTGCATTATTGCACAATATAAATCCAGCTGTTATTCCACCAAGGACAGGAACCGGGGAGAGAAAGTTTTAGATAGATTTTGCAAAAGTAAGAGCTTCTGTTATGGGGAAATTACAATAATTTGTGGGTATAGCTTGATATTTTCCAGCAGCAAAGTTTTCTCTTGAAATCTGGGGTGATTTGTAAAATAATGCTGCCAAAGCAGTATTTTTAGGGACCTGTTTTATATCTAATGAGTAATTTAAAAGTTGTAATTCTCTTTGTCACAGATTTGTATCTCCAATATAGCATGTATTACATATTAAAATTACACCCAGTAGTAAGATTTCAGCCATGCATTTCTTAGAAACTTAAATATGTGGGGACAAAGAAATCCAATTGCAAACAAATATTACAATTGAATAAAATAATTTGTTTCTATTTAGTTAGCTTTATCCAAATCAAAATAATATCTAAAATAACCACTCATTTGCGTCAATCTTCCTTCTTCTCCACTAGGACTATATACTGTGAAACAACCTAAAGATTATCAACACCTGAAATTGATACTTAAGATGTAAAATGCATAATATAATATTCCTATATTTGTTGTTATGGGGAGTTCAGTGGTGATATTCTTACACTGCCTCCTATATAAAACTAGGAATGGCACATATAATAATATCACACTGCTATGATTAGTAAAAAAAATCTATATTTTACAAACAAATTAAAAGAACTCCTCTAGGAATATGGTTTTTGTCTTCTTATATCTTGGGAGGGAAAAAAAATCAGATGGAGAACTAGAACGTCCTACATTGGAAGCCTAGTCTGAGTAAAGTTCTCTATTATTTCATTTTCTACGAGCAGAAAAGGTCTCATATTTTTCTGCTTCCAAGGGAGAACACAGGAGTATAACATGAAGTCTACTGATCTGGATCAACCTAGCCCAGCTTTATCTTCCATTAATAGCCAAGTAAATAAAAAGGTGGAAGAAGGTATGGTGTAGCACCTGATTGCTGATGTTATCTTGTAAATACTATTCAATGAATTAATTATTTAGTAATGAGAAGGAGAATGGGCAGTGAAGAAAATAGAACATGATCTACTAAGTTAATTTGTTGATTTCCAGCAGGCAAAATAGATACGTTGGTTACACTTGAAGGTGTTGAACAAAGAAACACAAATCAAACTCTCCAAGATTAGCCATATGTACCTTCCCCTATTTTTCTTGATTTTGTAAAAGTTCACTTGTCCCAATAAAAATATTTCATTTTTCCCCCTCAGCCAGTATGAATACTATGATTT